GAAAAGTTTCTCAACATCACTAATTATCAATGAAATGCAAATCAAAACCACAATAAGATATCACCACACATCTGTTAGAATGATTGTTGTAAAAAAAGACGAGAAACAAGGGTCAGCTAGGATGTGGAGAAAAGGGAACCCTTGTACACTGTTGGTGGGAATGTAAATTGGTGCAGTCACTATGTAAAAAAATATAGAGGTTTCTCAAAAAATTAAAAATAGAACTACCATACAATCCAGCAATTCTACTTCAAGGGTTATATTCTAAAGAAATTATAACACTAACTCAAAAAGATATATTCACCCTATATTTATTGCAGCACTATTTACAATGGCCAAGTTATGAAAGCAAAGTGTCCGTGGATGCATGGATAAAGAAAATGTGGTATATATATACTCTGGAATATTATTCGGCTATACAGAAAAAGGAAATCTTGCCATTTGTGACAACATGGATGAACTTTGAGGGCATTACACTAAGTGAAATAAGTCAGACAGAGAAAGACAAATACCATACGATTTCACGTATATGTAGAATCTGGAAAAAAAACCTAATAGATACAGACAACAGATTGGTGGTTTCCACAGGCAGGGAGTGGGGGTGAGCAAAATAGGTAAAGGGGGTCAAAAGCTGTAAAATAAATAAGTCGTGGGGATGTAATGTACAGCATGGTGACTATAGTTAATAATATTTATCGCATATTTGAAAGTTGCTAAAAGAGTAATCTTCTCTTCAGAAGAAAAAGAATTCGTGCATATCTATGTATAGTGACGGATGTTAACTAGATTTATTGTGATGATCTTTTTTTGCAATATATACAAATATCAAATCACTATGTTGTACATCCAAAACTAATGTTATATGTCAACTATATCTCAATAAAAGAAAGCCACAATGAGATATGACCTCATACCCAGTAAAGGAATGGCTATCATCAAAAAGACAAGAGAGAATAAGTGTTAGTAAGGATGTGGAGAAAAGGGAACTCCTTGTGAACTGTTGGTGGGAATGTAAGTTGGTGTGGCTACTATGGAAAATAGTGTGGCGGTTCCTCAAACAATTAAAACTAGGACTACTGTCTGACCCATCAATCCCACTTCTGGGTATATAGCCAAAGGAAATGAAAATAGGATCTTGAAGAGATATCTGCACTGGCATGTTTGTTGCAGCATTATTCACAAAAGACAAGATATGTAGAGAACTAAATTGTCCACCAACAGGTGAGTGGATAAAGGAAATGTGGAATATTGTTTGGCCATGAGAAAGGAGGAAATCCTGCCATTTGCATCAACATGGATGAACCTTGAGGGCATTATTCTAAGAAATAGGCCAGACAGAGAAAGACAAGTACCATATGGTATCACTCATATATGGAATCTAAAAAACAAACAAACTCATTGAAACAAAGAGTAGAAGGTAGTTGCCAGGGCCTGGGTATTGCCAGGGGCTGGATAGTAAGGGAAATAGAAAGAGGTTGATAAAAGTGCACAAACTGTCAACTATAAGATGAATGAAGTCTGAGGATCTAAAGTAAAACATAGTGACTATAGTTGATAACAATGTATTATATAATTGAAATTGCCAAGAGAGTCTAACTTATGCGCTCTCATACACACACAAAAAGATAACTATGTGAGGTGATAGATGTGTTAATTAACTAGATGGATGGAATCTTCTCACAATGTATATGTACATCAATTTACCATGATGTACACTTTAAATATCCTACACTTTTATATGTCAATTATATCTCAATAAAGTGAAATTTTAAAAATTTCTGAATCAAGATAAGTTTTAGAATACAAAATGAATTAATGGACTATAAAACTTACTGTTACTCTGAGTATCTAGAAGAAAGAGAAAATACAGATAAAATGTTCTCATCCTTGGCACATCTACCTCCAGAAACAGAAACCCACGTATAAAGATGCCTGAGGAAACTCCTTGGCAGGTAATGCACATAATCCTCTGAGTTGGATCCTGGGCACAAGTGAGTAGTTTTCCAATAAGATTAAACAGAAATAGGCAATGCCTTTCACAACAGTCAATTGTATTGTCATGTCAATAACAATAGCTGATCTAACAGCTAATCTATTCCTCTGGCTCTCATTCACTAGCAATTCTACTTGCTTCATTTTAATTATATGTACAGTGTGTTCAAGAACATTCTTTAAGGGTCATTCTGATCTCATTGGCAAATATGGAAACCCGTGATGAAGACATCACCATGGTCGTCTGTGTCCAATCCAGGGCTGGGCTGGAAAGGTTTGCTCCACCCAGCTCTTTCTTCTCGGAGTTGCCCTCTCTCCTCACTTCTGTAACTGATTCATTCAAAACTTACTGAGTGCCTTCTGATGCATGGCAATAATACTACGTACCGACAAGAATACAATAACAAAGAACAAAATAAAAGTGAAAGAAAGAAAAAAAAGCTGATGATATAATCCCAATGTTTGAAGCATTTGCATTGTGGAAGAAATACTTATAAAATTCCTTGCTGTCAGCATTTCTGGTCCAGCAATCTTTCTTTAAATTTGTATCCCCTTAAAAGTATAAACAAGTGCTATGTATCTTGCCAAGGAAAAATATACTAGAACTATTCACGAACAAGATCTTTCACTAGCATGATCCTTGGATAGAGCTAGCACTTATAACTTCAGTTTTTTTAGATTTAACTCCTAGTAACATTTTATTTATCGTTTTAAAAGTACTTCTGTATATTGAGTACTGCATCAGGTGAGAGCCCTTTACCATACTCACCTGTAATGTGTGATGAGGATCTCTTCAGGGACTCAGACAATTTCACTCCCTGCTGACTTTTCTCCTGACTGCATTATTACTTGGATGATGATATGCAATGCCCAAATTTACAAAGGTGCTAAGGCATCACGCGAATTAAATATTTTTAAGATAATGGCAATATGAGGAGGAAAAAAGTTTTAAGAGTTAAGCACATAAAATAATTTCATGTTTTAAATAGAGTTTACCTAATGCAATAATGAGCATATTGTATGGGATAGAATCAGGTAAATTGTTTAAAAATCAATGCAAAATATATCTGTTACTTCTCTTTTTGTACAGTGTTTTGTCCTTAAAAGATATTTGTCAAGAGCAAGAGCTTGAGTTCTTTTGTGTTGACTTACTGTGTTTGAGTTGGATACAGATCCTGGTGAACAAAAATGTTGAAACAAAGGAAGCCATTAAAAATGAGAAGAAAGCTACCAGGTTGAAAGACTAGAAACTGGAACTGAAGAGCAGTAAGCAAAGTCATTACGAAATGAGGACGAGAACCCAGGAGCCGAACGTTAGCAGAAGAGGAAATGTAAGGTAACAAGGAACAACAAAAGAAAGCAAGCAAATCCCCAGATTAGAGTGCCTGGGGTTTAAAATAGCTGACCACACCTGGTGGAGTCACCTCCTCCCATTTGCAGAACTTGCAGGGTCCTGACAGGATCAGATAATTCTGACAAACCATTTTCTCTCTCAAAACTCACCATAGCACGTTACTCTTGATTCTTGAGTAATTCTTTAATTGTTGCTCAACTGTTGGTTAAAATAGCACTTTTCTCTCTCTCTTTCACAAATGTATTATGATATATCCAGAAAGTCTTGCAGAGATTATGTAATTACCAAGATCACTTTTGGGTGCTAGAAGACTAACATGCTTTGCAAAAGGGGCTGGAGGGCGTGCAAAGTCATACATCTGATTCCAATGAAGAAAAATCGACACTATGTAACTCACGGCTGTGATTGGAATTCCCTGGGCCTGTCACGAGAAGAAATGTTGGCCAAGTCTAGGTAGCTAAGTTGAACGACACTTCCACAAAGGTGTGCATTTTGGTATATTTTCTCAGTGAGTCCTGCAAAAAGATGGAAGTGGAAGAAAGGTGGAGACGTAGTCAGGAGAGGCAGAAAGAACGCAACAGCTACTCTGCTGAGCATTTTCCCTAGATGTACTCATAGGTCCACCTGTACGCTGAATGGGAGAATCAACTGTAGGTAATCCAAGTGACAAGTGCATGCAATAAAGATGGCCCAAGAGGAACGTCGCAGGGGCTGACAGTGATGGACTTGCTGGAGAAGACGTAATAGCTGAATCTCAGGACAGCACCCCTGTCCCACATCAGTGACCATGAGGCCAAGTTTGCCTTACTGCATTCTCCAAGTCCTTCCACTCTCTTCACATTAAAGCTATGCATATATATTTTTTCTATATATTTTGCATTGATTCATTTTGCTCTATCAACCTGTATTTGTGTGCTACTTAAGATCATGGGTCTTAAGCGTTGTCCAGCTCTGTATCTTTAGTGCCTGGCACACACTGAGTCTCTGTATCAGAGTCCCTCACTACCCATGTTACATTGTCATCCGGCCCCTTTCATTTCTGTGCTGTCCTCTGGGCCAAGGGATGGGAGAAGGTGACACCTTTGCTATCTTGGTTTTGCAGTCTATGTGAGTAATAAACTGTCTGATCTAAAAAAGGCTTGTTGTTTCTTTACCAGTCCACTTGTCAGCCTGCTTGACAAAACCACTACCTGTGCAGATGTCTCCTGGCCCTCTTCACATCACCGTGTTGGAAATGGGGCTCAGGGAACCAGCACGAGAAAATGCTGATACTCTGGCTACTGCTATTGCTGTGAATAATAAAGGTCTTCGTCTCAGCTTCTGGAGTCTCATGCTTCCTGCCAGCACCCATGAAACTGGCAGGCTAACATTAGCTCACAACTAGAGGAAAATCTTAGACTCATCATGGCTCTTGCCACCACCCCATGTGTCGCTAGGAACACTGCCTTCTCCCTGTGCTCAGGAGATCATGCCTGCTGTGACTGGGTGGGACACAAAGCCTCCAAATTCCCACTGGAAAGCTGCTTGGGTGGGAGCTGGAGCCAGAACAGACAGTAGTGGTGGGTACATTCCTCCTGATTTCCGTGCCTGGGCTCTGTTTAGCTAAAAAGTGTCTTCAAGGAGAGAAGGCTGGGTTGGTTTATTACTCACCACCTGCTCTATTGCAACTTTCTTTGAGTTCCTTGCAGCTTCTAGGCAGGAAAGAAAGGGAGGAGGCACAGGTTTTGCCCACCTGGAACATCTCAGGAGCCTGGACCACTGCTGGAGGATGTGAGAATAATTCTCATTTACAGTCTGTTGCCTGATACCATCCTTCCTGGCATCAGCTCCCAGCCCCTGCCCACTTCGCCAGTTCGTCACTATACTGTGAGCACCCAGGATTCCGTCTGCTAAGACTATCTGACCATGATCTCGTACAGGCTTAACACTGAATTCTTCTTCTCAACTAACCAAAACTGAAAACTATCGTTACGCCTGTTGTGAGGAATGGAATTGGGAGGATGGGGACTAGAGGGGGATGTTCCGGGACACAGCATGACCACCTAGCTCCCTTTGGAGAGGCAGAGGCCAAGGCCACAGGGGCAGGAGTAGCCGGGAGGGGACACAGTCCCTACCATCCCCTTCCTGAGCCCCCTCACAGCCACACACAGGCACAGAGTGGGGCCCCAGGACATGACTTAGCTAACACTGTGACTACTTCAGATCAGACGCCTGGAGAGGCCAGCAATCAGCACCCAGGCCACATCTCAAGTCAGCTGCCACGTGTGGCTTCTGTGCATCTCCACGACTCTCCTTCGGGCCCAGGATGTCAGCATCCAGCCCAACTCTACCCCCAACTCTCCTGCACAGGATAGGTGAGCTGAAGAAACTGCTGCGCCTGAGTCACTTACCTGCACTCCACCCTCTGGTGGCCACAGAGACGAACAGCAGGAAGCAGAATCTGGCCATTGTCCCCTAAGGGGAAAGGAGATGCACAAGTCACTGGCTGCACCATCCTTTCCCTTCCTCTCATCCTTGCTCTCTGTCCTTTCTGAGTCAAGAAACTGCAAATGGAAAGTGATGGGCTTCTGGGCATTCTGGAACCTCCCCGAATAGCCTCCATCCCTTCCCAATCCTAGAAGTTCTTAAGGGGCCATGGGCTGCTTTCTTGGAAACTCTCAATCCCTGAGGCCAAGACCAGACCTGAGCTCGCATCTTTGCTCCCCACACCCACAGGTCTTGTCGCCCACTCAGAAATCCTCACCGGGACAGAGAGCTCCCTCCTTCCTTCCTCACAGATGCCACAGCTGAGAGTTCCCTGCCAGGTGCAGACTCAGAGCTCCCTGCTTCTGCAGAGGGTCCTGACTCAAGTGAAGTGCTGAGCCCTTTTGGGAAGAGCCAAACTATGCAAGCCCTGCCCAGCCCTGCCCAGGCTGCTGGCCCCTCCCTCTGGCATGCTTCCCTTTGAAGGTCCCTGGGCTGGGCCTCTGGGAGTAAGAGGGGCGTGTGGTTGGCCAGAGAAGCATTGGTCACACAGGTGACACTCACCATCTGGGGAGTAAGAGGGGCGTGTGGTTGGCCAGAGGAGCATTGGTCACACAGGTGACACTCACCATCTGAGGCGGGGGACTCTGCTTCATCCGAGCGCTGCAGTGTTTATTAGGTAATCAGACACTCAGGACAGGTCTGACCCTACACTTCTTGCCTCCCGCCTACCCCCCTCCCACCTCAGTCAGCTGCTCCAGAGCCTCACATGCATCCCTGTCAGGACATCATCCTTCATCTCTGCTTAAGCCTCGGGGAAGCTCCCCCTGACACCCCCACCCCCAGGCAAAGCTGATGGCTTTCTCCTTGACCTACTGCTCTGCTTTGTCCTACACTAATTAGGACATGCATCACACTGTAATGTCATTGTTTTATGAACTTTTTGTTTAGGAATAATTTAAAATTTACAGAACATTGCAAAAATAAAAATTGTACAAAAACACACATATGCCTTCTAACTAGGTTCACCTATTGTTAATATTTTATGCCATTTGCTTTATCATTTATGCACTCTCTCTGTACACACACACACTCGTGCACAACACACACATTTTTTTCCTGAATGATTTGAGGGTAAGTTACATACATCATGGCCCTTTACTCCTAGATAAGTGCGAGTTTTCTAAGAAGAGGGATTTTTCTCATACATAACCACAGTACAATTATCAACTTCATATCATTGACTCTTTTTAATGTACCTGGTACTTTCCTAGGGTACACCAGCGGGGGGTCATGCTGCATTGTCATTCATGGCACTGAAATTTCTTGGCTTTCATCTCCTCCTATTGTCGGGAACTTCCCCTCCTCTTCTAAGTCCTTATTCCCTGGGCGGTGTCTTACATGTGCTAACAAAGAGGATTTCTCCGTTCTGAACGCACTCCCAGCCTGCCGGCACCTTTCAGCACTGTCCACTGCCAAGGCTCCGGCTCCCCATGGGGCCTAGATTCGCCAGCCCTGCCGCCTCTGGTGCTGGGCCTGCTCTCCGGGACCAGTTGCTGATGTTCGGGGCACTGCTTCCTCTCACTCCCAGGCCTCCAGCACCTTATCTCCTTGGGGTCCAAGGGGCAGGAGCCATCCATCCTGCTTGGTGCTGAAGAAAGGAAACGCCTGTCCTCTCCTATGATGCGGCCAAAGCAGGACTGGTTTCCCAGTGCCCCAGTGACCTCAGTGAAACTGCCCTTTCAGGGTTTCCTCCAGAATCCCCCCTCTTAGACCCAGACAAAAGGCTAAAAAGGTGAGGATAGGGGATACATCTGAAGGGCACTATGCTACGCTCTGATTGACTTTTGGCATAGAAGCCTGAGCTACCATCATTGGGACACCTGTGTGAGTTCCTCCTCAGGAAGCTTCTGAATCCTATTTGAGTATTTCTATAGGTATTTGCTTAATACCTTTCTCCTTCTCCATGAGGACAGGGACTGTGTGTGGGTCATCACCATATCCCCAGGACTACACAAAGTGCCTGGCACGTAGTAGGTCCTCAGTCTGCATTAGTCGAGTGAAAGAAATTGACTCCACGAGGTACTAAATGACCAGCTGGAATGTTCCACTCATCCAAGCATTCACTGAAGCGTCAAGATCTTCATATGCTTTCTGACAAATGGATTCTCCAGACTCCTGCCCCTTTCCTTAGCAGCTAAACATCCTTTGGATGTACCATAGAGCAGCACTGTCCAATAGAAGCATGATGCTAAAAAAATTTTTTAAAAAAACAGGTGAAATTAACTTTAATATATGTGTGTATGTGTGTAACCATCATATTATAATTTCAACATGTAGTTGATATAAAAATTTTTTTTCTTCTAAGTCTTCAAAATTCAATGTCTAGGGGCTGGCACCGTGGTCTAGTGGTTAAGTCCGTGCACTCTGCTTTGGCGGCCCAGGGTTTCACTGGTTTGGATCCTGGGCGCGGACATTTCACCGCTCATCAGGCCATGCTGAGGTGGCACCCCACATGCCAAAACTAGAAGGACCCACAACAAAAAATATGCAACTGTGCACTGGGGGGCTTTGGGGAGAAAAAGGAAAAAATAAAATCTTAAAAAAAAAATTCGGTGTGCCTTTAGTATTCACCGCTTGGCTCAGCTTGCATGCTAAATTTTCATCAGATATTGTTCATCTGCATTTAGATTTCATACAATTTACAGTTGAAAAAGTTGTTCCAAACATACTTAAAACTTTTCCCAGTAACAAAAGAGGATCAATTTTTAAATTTAAATTAATTAAAATTAAATATTTGTTTGTGCTAGCCGTATTTCGGGTGCTCAGTAGACACCCGTGACTCTTGGTCACAGTATTAGCCCAGAACTAGAGAGTTAGATAACCCTTGGGTAAGCATCTTAGACCATGTTTCTGTGTGACATTGAAAGGACATGCAGTCATCCTTTTACCTTATTTTCAGGTTTTGGATAATTTGTGTTAAGAGTTCTGAGGGTATATCAATTACCCAGATTTTTTGTGGTTGTTGTTGAGAACGATTCACCCTGAGCTAACATCTGTGCCACCTTTCCTCTAGGTTGCATGTGGGTCACCACCACAGCATGGCCGCTGATGAGTGGTGTAGGTCTGCACCCAGGAACTGAACCTGGGCAACCAAAGCGGAGTGTGCTGAACTTAACCACTAGGTTACAAGGCTGGCCCCCTAGATTTTTTAAATGGTTTTATTGGGATATAGTTCATATAGCATACAATTCATCCATTTAAAGTGTACAATTAGATGGTTTTTAGTATATTCACGGAGTTGTGTAACGATCACCACAATCAATTTAGGACATTTTCATCACCTCAAAGAAACCCCATGTCAATTGCAATCATACCCCATTTCCCCCTAACCCCTCAGCCGCAGGCAACCACTAATCTACTTTCTGTCTCTATAGATTCGTCTATTCTGGACATTTCATATCAATGGTTCATCCATTTTGTAGCATGTATCAGTAATTAATTCCTTTTTATCACCAAGTAATATTCCATTTTATGGATTTGCCATATTTTATTTATCCATTCATCAGTTGGTGGACATTTGGGTTATTTCTCTGGATTCTACGTGTTGACTGAGCAGCGAATATTGCCAGCCTGGGTCACTTATGCAGCTTCCTCCAGCTGGAAGCTCTGCAGGGGCTCCTTAGTTCTCTGCCACGTGCCTCTTTCTCCATGTGGTATCTCACCCTGCAGGGCTCATCACACGGCCCCTCTGTCTCTCCAGCAGGATAGCTTGGACCTCCTTATAGATGGAGGCTGGGTTCCAAGAGAACAAAAACAGAAGGTGCCACTTCTTAAGGGCTAGGCTACACCCACCTCATTTCTGCTACATTCTATTGGTCAAAGGAGGTCACAATGCCAGCCCAGATTAGGGAGGAGGGAAATGGGCTGCACTTCTTGATGGGAGGAATGAGTCACGTGTATAGGGAGGGGAGGGATTGTGGGCAGCATCTTTGGATTCTACCTACCACACCCACATTTAACAGCCCTTTTGCACTTAGGCAAGATCATTTGACTAGTTGCGGACAATGGGCTGTGAGCAAAAGTGACATATTTCACTTCCAGGCAGAAGCAAAGAAAAGCCTGAGCAATCCTCCGGATGTATCATCTCTTCTGCAGCCAAGAAGGCCTCATGGTGAAATTATTCCATGGAAGACAATTACCTTGCAGAGTCATCCAGACCTGCAGCCAACTTTGCATTAGCAAGTGATAAACCTCTGTTGTGTTAAGCTGCTCAAGTTTGAACATTGCTTGTTAGGCAGCATAACTGAGCCCATCCTGATTAAAACACATGGTTTGTGTCTTTGCCTCGCCCCTGAATTTGCTGCTGCTGCTGCTTCTACAGTTCTGACTTCTGGTTCTCTGCCTGATCTGTTGAACTTGCCCCTTTGTGATGTTGCTTCTGACTTCTCTAAGTAAACCTTTGCCTAATATAGCTTGACCCTGGAACCTTAACCCCTAGTGGCTGGTGTACCTGACACAAATTGGCCTTAGATACCCCCTTTCCCCCCAAGCTGTCTGTCATAGGTTTCATGAAGAACAGAGGGGGTTGCAGCCAGGTCCTTGAAGGTCCTTTTGGGTTAAGTTTAGACTTAAATGAGTAGGCAAAGGGGAGCTGCCAAAGGTTTTTATTTTTTTATTTTATTTTAAAGATTGGCACCTGAGTTAACATCTGTTGCCAATCTCCTTCTCCTTCTCCTTCTCCCTCTCCCTCTCCCTCCCCCTCCCCC